AATACGAATTAAGGAATCAATATTTAAAATTCTTGTTAGAAGACACATAAACGCTAATTAAGTAAACTTTTGCACTGCAAAATATGCCAATTTCGTTCATTGAGAAATTAACGTAGGCCCATAACCAGGTTTTCTTGAAGCAGAATGCAATATTAAAGTACATTTTCAGAGGATGACTTATACTCATGTACGTGTTTTTTCCCTTGGGTTTATAAATACCGTAGGCAGGCCATTCAGGTTTTTGATCGATAAATCAATGAGGAAATCAGAATGGAGGAATAAAAAACATGTTTATGCACCGGAAAAATAAACAAATCTGTTGTATATAGGGTCAATGTGTTGAATAACTATGTTTTGTTATGTTATAGAATAGAAAATGCACTTGGTGAAATGTGGACTGATTAATTAACAAGCTTTCTTTCTTTTATATCAATTATAAAACAGGTTTTTACATACATTACTCACTCATACCGATAACTGGTTAATTCAATGCTACATAGTAATATAGCTATTGAATATCCACGTTTTTTGTTACACGTTTTGACCTATATTTTGTCCTCTTTCTTATCTACATTCACTTTTCTATAGTGTCTCTACAGAAACCACCGAGTAAAATGAAATCCAAATGAGAGAATGACCTTAGTTTTTGCAAAAACGCGCTAAAGAAAGAAATGCTATCATCTTAATATATTGTAATTCAATTATTATTTATTCATTGTTTCCATGTTGAGCCAAGTGTTTGTCTCATTATGCTGAAACATCTTTCGTCTCCGAAATAAGCAGTTTGATTGTTTTTGACTGTCCGATTACAGAAAATATCATTGCATGCATTAAAGGCTCTATAGGTTGATAACAGGATAAGGGTTAGCTGAATTGCCTTTAACTGAACATTGGCTGTGCCATATAATTGAACTTATTTCTGTATAGCTCGATCGAAGTATTTTTTTCGCATGTACTCGGAGACGTTGTTTGTGTGTGGGGTATAAGATCCGGCCTGCATCTTGCCAAATGTGTTTGTCTGTGGTCCAGATCCTAACTCTATTGTAAAAGCAACAACAACTCACGCATATTCATAAACAAAATAGACCCGTATCGCACTCTTAACTGTTGCCACACCTCAGCGTACTGTAACACTTATCAACAAAAGACGCAAAAATCTTTCAAAATCTTCGTTAATAATGGTTAAAGTACAATCTATCGTGTTTATTGTTTAACATATCCACGTGTATGTTTATACTGTTAAAATGGATCAAAGACGCCAAACAGATGAATCCCTTAACAGTACACAATACACAATATACCGAAGATTATCAGCAATAGACATGATAATTCTTTCAAGCAACACGTGAGATAAAGGGTCTGTAATGATTATATGTAACAATAGTTTGACGGTGTATATTATGTATATATTTGTTGTTTTAAAGTACACGATAAGTTTAATTGTTAGACACTACCTGTTACAAATATCGTTGTATCCTTACACAGTACTAATTCGAAACGTACTTGTACGCTTCACCACAAAACAACCCTTGGAAGAAATAGATGATGGCAGGCTTTTTGTCTCAAGCAATCATAAACCTTCAACTCAGAACCTAGATCAGGGAGCACTGGGAAATGATCGGGAACTGAAATATTGTTTATATCTATTTCATGAATGAAGATGATGTGTCTTGTTGATATAATCTCTTGATGTTTTTGTTTTCGTTTTGACGTGTATGTAAAGTGTTTTTTTGTGTGTTAAATTTTGATGTACACTAATGAAAATAATATCTCATTTTTCAATTTCTTATTACTAATATAAAATATATATGAAGTTAATCTTAATTTCAATTAGTTTCAATACCTGCGTCATTGACGTTTTAAAATATTTTTTGAAATATAAATTTTTTAAAATAGTTAAAAAAATGTTTTCATTTGTTTCTGAGCATGTTCATTAAAATATGAGCTATATATAATACATTTCCTACTTTTGATTTACCATATTTCCTAAATAAAACATGAGTCATCAGTTATATTATTTCCTCAATAGTTTATCCTATAAAGAGCAAATACTTGCACTAAATCTGCATATGTCAGATACTATCTATAGTTTGCCTAAACTAACAATGATTCGCCTCCTCAATCTATGAATGGTTATAAAAGAGAAGTATATCCATCATGCATGTATATATAATCAACAAATTCGTGACAGACTTTATTTCTTAATCAATAGTTTGAATAAAAGAATTATTTTTATCACAGCTTGAATGACATCTAGCAGCTGTAGGAGGAGATCGCATTTTAAAAATAATTGCAAATAGTATTATGATACATGTTACAACGATTCTACACATAAAATGTTTTCCAAGATAACATTGGCATGCACATCAAATATTTATTACAATGCTTTATTTTAATATAGATTGATCAAAATTGAATGTCTAATTGCTATTTTACGACAGGCTAATACAAGTTACTTTATGAATCACATAATAGGATTCCGAAGGCATAATGCATTGAAATGAACAACATATGTACATTCTTTGCATTCATCACGGATCGAGCAAAAGCTCTGTTCCCAGGTGATATGACATTGCATAATTCCGATATAAGTTTTTCAGGGTAATGGATCCAGTAAAGGTATCAAGCTTTAAAAATGTAACATGTTGATATACACGTTTTTTCATTTCAAAATATTGCATTAAATCCATCAGATTTAATGGGAATTGGGCAATAGGCAAAGCCTATACAAGCCCTCTTCCTAGCAATGAATTTGAAATAGACCGATCGATATAAGCAACTCGTATACTCATCAGAATCCAAAATTAATTTAGTGAATAAACCTTTATGTTTTTAACGCATCCATGGTGATAAGATTTTTAAATACTATTTTAAAAAATAAACTCATATACAAAATCACTAGTCCTCGTTATAGCAAATACCACTGTTCAATAAAACCTTACATTAAAAAGTATTATATTTGTGAAATATCTGGCGATTTGTGTGATGTTTATTTTGTTACTTTTGCGAGAAATAGAACAAAATTTAACAGATAATGTGTATTTTATAACCGTTGTGTGCCTGATGTAAATATATGTGGTGGAAATAAGTGGTAAACAAATCTATCTGTTAATAATATGTTTTAATGGTAGTTAAGTTTTTAAATCCGTCGAATTTGTACTTTATTGTGTTGAGAACCAAGTTCCGCATAATAATCAATATTTCACACAAAGTGTTGGATCATAGGTTCTCATAAACATTATCTACTGAATACTGGAGACTTTGTCCCATTGTTTATCAAACCGAACTGATACGTATCATCCACGGGACCATGATGATCAGCTTCAGATAGTCATGGCCTGTAGTGAAGATCAATTATAGGATGAATGCTCGTGTGAACAGGGTACAGGTACACTTCAATGGGGGTATGGGTACCAGATGGGTTAAACCGATGGTCTGTAAACGTTATTGTTAACACTAGCGATACTATGCACTTTATAGATTAACAAGGTCCCGGACGCACTTGTTTCAAATTCCGTTGGCGCAATTGATTTAACGAGTAGGCACCAGTTGTTAAGTATTGCTAGATGTGTAGCGATTTTATAACTACAAGAAACATTCCTTTTTGTAAAGGTTTTACAAATATTTTATTTACATTTACCTGTTACTAGAGGTATTTAACATCGCTTCAATTTGTTGGAAATACAATATCATTTTTTTGTTAATATATCTAGTTCATCAAGACAATATAAATATTTGCATGTGTTTTATGAAATTGGAAAGTAAAGAAAAGTGTTCACTGTTTAAACATTATAGCTATCAGAAAGGATGCAAAAAAAGAAAAACAATCTAACACTCTGCCTTGTTTACTTGCAATCATTTAAATAACGATTATAACGACAATGTATCTAACGATTGCTAGTTATGTTTCCTGTGATTCTAATAATATTTATTTAAAAAATAACATATTTTGTTTTCGAATTTGAAAAGTTGATCAATGCATTTCCTAAAATTTGACTGGCTCTTCGTATTCGGGATGTTGGAATGATCCCAGTCTATATTGATAATGAAAATGTAAAAAAATGTAAATCTATAGAACTAGACAAAAAAGGAAATATTTCCACAAAGATCTCCGAAAAGGTTTCAAAAAGTGTAAGACCAGATGTTCTTGAAGGTTAAGCGTCGTCTACTCATCAATGCCAACCGCCAGGAAACTCGAACTCTATTCAAAGTAATGTTGCGTTCTCTATGAAAGTTACGGTGAAATGACAACGAAACCAGAAGGAAAACTAATCAGCATAAGTATGTCAATATTCGTTGTTACTCGAAAGAAATATGGAAATTTCCAAATGGTACCATGATTGCCCCTATAAAAAGTAGCATTATCTTTCATCAATCCAGCTTCATTGTAACCTGTGCTGAATTGAAACTGTTTGTCTGTTAGCATTCGATATCTGTCACATGAATCGGGATTTACGGAGCAAGTCCGGAAATATCGCATCAAATGCACGTTTCCTCCATATTATCATTAAGCTGAATTGGAAGCTTTGTTTCTGTTGGTCTTTTTGTAAGTAAAGTTCGAAGTAAGCGACTTGTGTTGAAGTGTCTATAAATTGCCTGATTTAAAGTTAAGGAGACTTCATACGGTCGTTGTAGTCAATGAACTTCTTGTTATTTAAAGACATTGCATCACCGATATACTATAAGTGTACATAATTTGACGGTTCTCTAAATGCAACGCTCTTCGCACTTTATGCCCTGCGCAAATTTTTTATTGTGTTAATACAAGTTTCTATATACGTTTCTTTGTATAATTTATGAGTGCTTCAATGCGTTGATCAATTAAACTTCGTTTTTATGCTACAATTTGAGTCCGCTAAATTAAGTACTCGTACATTATCTGAAAGGAAATTGAACGACTTGGCAAGATAAGTCCGCATGCCTATGTTGGCTCATACAAACATTTAAATGATCAATGCAATTATCTTATGAACAAAAAGTAGAAAATTCATATTTGAGGCTCATTTTTATTACCCAAATAACAATTTGAAACAAATAACAATTTCATACCAGTCGTTAAGACCGTTGTCAATAACAATAATTATATAACTATTCAATACATAACAATTTTTTAACACTTTCATACACATTCAAACTTACATGCGTAGATGCGCACGTGTGTCATGGTAGTTACAATCAAACTCACTCATACTGTCTATTAAACGTCCATAATCGATTGCGGTTAATCGATAGTCTGAATGAAAAAAATGTTGTAAAGCTTATTGCAATTATAAATGTTCTCGGCAGGCATCTACGGCTTGTGTTTTCTATGGGAAGCACCCCTCGTCTGTTGGTTATAAACGGAATATAGATTACATAAAATTTGTCATTTTCTTAAACACCATTCATGCACATACACGCCCACTTTTTTAGAACACAAATTGACATTTGGCAGAATTCAGCAAATGTTTGTCAAATGAAATACACATATGTCTTTCATCACGACCGTCGGAATATAATATCTAACCATGCTCGGCTAGTTTGTTCTGTCCTTTACTGTCCGGATTTCAATATGTATGTCAGATACACGTGTAAGTTGTTTCCGCTGGTGTGTCGATTTCACGTTAATACCTCCATATCCAGTACAATATAACACATCAGAAAGTTACTTTGTTCGAATGTTCCTGGCGTAATTTGACTTTCCTTTTTTGCGGATTTTGAAAGGAATAAAAACACAATTCCCTCCTAATGGTTGTGAGTGGTTCCACACAAACTGTCGTCGCTGTCTGAGTCCGGCGAACTAAGATCTTCTGTGGAATTTGAAGTGCCTGAAACCATAGAAAGTAAATGACAGATTAATATGAATCCAATAAATTTAATATGAAACAAACGTAGAAACAAATAAGCATTCATTTCTTTTCTTGTAAATATTTTTTCACTATGAAGTTTCATAATCTTTTGGAGTTGCATTAATATAATGATTTGATAAATATTGAATCATATCAATAAAATAGAAATAAGAAGCACAATTACCTTCAATGCTAGAGAGAGATCCAGTTAGGCTTCTGGACATAAAACTTCGTCTGTGTCGATCAGATGTGGACTCGTCAATGTTGACAAAGATCATTCGGTCATTAACCAGTGCTAGTTTCTTCCTGAGAGGTTTGCTAGAACACCGTTTCCGTTTGGTCAGCGTTTTTATGTTGTCGTTGATACACATGAGCTGCTGCATCAACTGGACATCCTGTTGCCTGATATCAAGCTGTAAGCATAACAAATGATAGATTAATAATTGATATTGATTTGTATTGTGTAAAAAACTGTTTACAACTGTAAAATTTGGAAAACAAATATTTTCCTTTTATTTGACTACTCTATAAAAACGAAAAAACATTTATAAAGAAAAAACTTGAAAACTTAACGTACAAGAACATACAGACTGGGTAAATAAACAACGTGATGGAGCTAATATAAACAGCAAATTACCATATCACTTCTGAGAGTAGCCAGGGCATTGTTGATCCTGTCAGTAGCGGTGATGTCTGTTGTCTGTACAGATTCCATGTTGGTTCCTTGTGTAGTATACAACTGTTTGTTACGTGTAAACGATGTCTAGTAGGCGAGAACTGATCAAGCTGGCATTGTCATTCCTTTTTATACCAACCCAGTGTTACGGGTAGCTTAACAACCACGTGGTATATTAGCCGTATGCCACCAGAGAGAGATTGGTTACACCTTTGAATGGTGTCTTGTGTGTCTATGGGACTGTTAATAGGGTATGGGGTTACATATTAATTCCGTATATGGTGTTGGCTATGTTTCCCATTATTCCAACATCGTTCCATAGGTGCTCCCGCATTCCGGATATCTACCTAAGTATGTGTGAGGCACATATCGTGATCAAAGAGCGAAACGTCCTTGATATGGCATTTGCCAGTTTACTGATTGATACTATATATCGTATTTGGTATTTTTTGTAGTTGCTTCTATGCTTTATGTTTAAAACGACTTTGTAAGTAAACGTTTTTTAAATTAAGTTTTATGATAAACAAAACATGGCAATTTTCATTCATTTATTATTATGTTGAAGCTGTTTGTTAGTGTAATGCGGTGCGTTGGTTTTTTAACAGAAATAGTATTTGTTTTACATTGTTTGCTCAGTAGGTCTTCAATTGGTACTTATGCGACATTCATACATCAACTGTCGTTGACTGTTTACACTTTTAACTTAAGAACTAAATAATATGGTTTGTAGTATTGTTGATATGTATCACACAGATAATATACTACGTTTTGTAAGTGGTATGATTTGGTAGTCTGGGTCAGGGTTGAAAAAATTGAATATGTGTTCACGACTTATTTGGACTGAATACGATCACAAAATATTTGATTTAATATCCATGAATATAATTTGGTATTATATGGACTTGCATATTTGTACTCCCCCTTATACAATGCAACTTGTGCTGCATGCATATCTAGTTAAATTTAGATCGTCGCATCGCTCTCTTTTACTGCGACTTATCAGTAAACGGGTGCGCTGCCAAGATCTCATATTGATTTGATGGATGCATGTTCATATGTTAACTATGTAACAGGGGAACAACTAATTTTTCATATGATTTGTTTTCTATAACAAGTGAAAATTATTGAGGTTTGAAGTTTCTCTGCCTTTAATATTAGGAAATTTGCTCACACATTAATGTCTCTGTTGAAATAATATTCTTTGAAATATGTGTTAGTCCAAAAAATATTATGAAACACCAATTAGATTTACTATCATTTCCAGACAAACTGTCGTCACTGTCAAAATCTGCTGAACCGGAATCTTTTTTGGTATTGATTCATTCGGGTTTATGCCTTTTCGTCGCCAAGATTATAATTTAACTTTGATAAAGTATTACTAAAACTATTAATTATAAACAAGCTATTTAGTGTCCTTCGAAGAATTAGTAAGGACTATGTTTTCAATCCCATTTATACCAACCCTGTACCTATACGTGGACTTACGTAAAGTCTGCTGGTGGTTTAATTATCTTACACAAAACACCTACTGTATTAGCCAAGTACCTCCGGAGAGAGATCAGTTACATTTGGCACGGATAGCCTATTTTATATATAGTGACAAAGCATGGATGTGTTTGCATATTAATGCTTCAGTTGTTTAATTTACTTCAATGTTTTTGACAAGTTATTTTTATCATTGCATTCCTACTGAAATACATACGTTCCGGCGATGATTTGTTAACGGAGATGATACATGAAAATAACAATAATCCTTTGTGTTAAACTTGCAAAATATGTTTTCACATCGGACGTCTTGAAAGCTATATTTGTAAATAAAACGATAAATGCAAAAACGAAATACCGACATATCATCTTCACTATTACCAATCCAATAGTGTTTAAGATTTTCATCACTATAATAATTCGCGTTTAATTTATATACATATTACAAATACGAGCGAAACAATTAACAAAGGAATGTGTAATTTAGCTAAGTTGTGTACTCCAATGTTTTTGACATTTTTTCGGTTATACTCTAATGGTAATGTGGACTCGTTCACTATTACCAGTTACGCGTGAATTGATAACACTTAGTTCCAGCTGAGATTTGTTTGGTCTGCTATGTAGCCCGTTTACAGACAGCGACGACCAACTTGCTGAACTGTATGCAATAGGCTACACTGACTTGTGTATTGCTTATTGTGCATGCATATCTTTGACAGAAATTCCACGTTGTCGCGGCCAGTTAAGCCATCATAAATAAAAAATAGTAACTGTGTCATGGAACGAAATGAGAACAAGAACAATAACATTGTTTTCAATTATATTTTAATTATATAATATTATTAACATTAAAAAATAAATTGCATCTTTCCCAACTGCATTACTCATGTACACACATTTTTACAGTAAACATACTCGAACACACGTTCGTGGATTTACCAATTCATTCATATTTGCACATGTCAACCTAATATAAACATGCACCTTTTTATTTATATACATGTAGCATACTCATATTATATCAAAATAATCATGCTACTTTTGAAAAAAAGGTACTCGCAGATGCTTGTCTTATGTATATTTCATGTGTGGATTGTGTTTACATGTGCACGTACTTTCCATACTTTCGGACCTTATCATACACTTTTATTCCACAAAACGTATCTACATGCACACGGTTTGAACACAATTACATAAAAATGGCAGATGTGAGCAAATGTCATTTAACTATGATACAGATATGTCTCGTAATAGCTTTGTCGTGACAACTTTGTTTTTCTTTTTCATGTTAAGAAACATTTATGAGGTAGTTTGATTTGTGCGTTCTCCATCGACTGAATTAAAACAATTCCCAATTGTCGAACGACTTTTAAATTTGATGTCTTCAAATTCTTTGCGTAGAATGTCCAAACACACATGTTCATATTTGAAACAATCAACTCTTTGTTCAGCGAAGATAACGTTGTTATGTTGTTACACTGACTTTGGCGAATGTATAGAACAGAGTCAGAACGTGTTACGTAACGTTAATAAGTTAATTTTCATTACCCGACAGATTGCCGTCACTGTCAGAATCTGCAGAAATTGAATCTTCTTCTGGAATCGTTTCATTCAGGTTTATGCATTTTCTTCGTCCGTTGAGCAACGTGTATTTCGTTTTGCGTTGTCTGCCAGAGTTTGGCCGTCGTTTGGTCAGCGTCTTTATGTTGTCGTTGATACTCATGAGCTGCTGCATCAACTGGACATCTTGTTGTCTGATGTCAAGCTGTAATGATAAAAGTTAGCATTCTATTAGATTTGATAAAGCTTGATTATATACTAAATATTTGGATGTTACTCAATATACATAGACAATTCTTGGATTTTTGTTTTAATTTCTATTTTTGATATTAAGTTGATTTTAAAAATCAATATAGAAAATACAGCGTGTTACACAATATATATATTTTTTTATCAAATTATATGGTTATTCAGAATACTTATTAAGAAATAGTTACCATATCACTCCTGAGTGTGGCGAGAGCACTATTTATCCTGTCAGTAGCGGTATTGTCGGATGATATCTGTACTGATTCCATGTTTATCTTTGGACTGAAAAAAATATTAGACGGTCTATTAGAAGTTAGTCAGTATCTGTAGAAGAACTGATCAGGTCTATGTTTTCAAATCTATTTATACCAACCCTCTACCCGTACGTGGGGCTACGTAAAACCTACGGGTGGTTTCAATGTCTTACACAAAGCACCTGTCGTATCAGCCTAATACCTCCGGGAAGGTATCAGTTACATATTGCACAGATAATCTGTATATCGTATAGTGACAGAGCATACATATATTTCAATAAGGATATGATAAGATGGTGTGAGATATGGGTTTTTTCTGCTTTTGTTTTAAGATCCTCACAAGGAATACAGAAATACAGAGATACAGAAATCAATATCAAAATTCTGCCAAATACCAACACGGAGAAGTGGTTTCCATCCTTGCGGTCGTGACAGCGGGGCTTGTACATGTAACAAAGAATGAAGTACCAACACACTGACATGCTTCCCTTACTGCGACCCCATCACACATACCACCTATATCACCACTACCTCATTTTACAATTGATGCAGTTGATATGCATATTAAGTTTTTAAATGAAAACACTTAGATGTCAATGAAACATTGATCATTGGAATGTGCGAGATATTATGCTCATCGCTATATCTAATTTTGGAACAACTCTTTGGTGCAGAAATTAAAAATATCTCAGCTGACAGTCGGTTAGATGATTATCGACAAAGTGTATCACAGGTTTATCAAAATGTATTCCATGTTATTTGTTTTAATAGTATTTTTATTGATGGAAATATTCTGGATTAATCGAACGATTTCTGCAGGGTTTCCTTGTTATATTAATAAGAATGAATATACAAACAATTAGCGATTTTCGAAAAAGAAACAGATGCAGATTATGCTGATTTCCAAAGATATTCGTATAAAAGTAAAATCTTAATATGTCGAAGTCTTTAAACTAGATAAAATCACAGTTCACTTATTTAAAAATGATGGGATATAAGAATGACACTTTAAGTGTTTTCAACGACTTTGCTTCTCCCCAATCCGTTTGTTTCCATTAAATATAACGATACATTTTGAGTCAACACTATAATAACATTAATTTCTTTAACATTTGAATCTACTTGAGAGCCCATCCCTATTAAGCAATATTCTGTCTCGAGAGACAAACTTTTTCAATCTTCACAAATTAGTTTTATTAAGCATTTTTATACTCCATTAAGATACCATTTTAGGAAATGACCACTTTCGAGCCTCTCCTTGGTTGGATTTCTAATAAAACACTCGGTAAAATATTGATGCATTCTAATATAGATTTTTTAGAAGCATTAGACTAGTCTAGCAGTTCTTCGTTACTGCACCATTACGTTCAAACTATTTAAATTCATTAAAACCTTTAAACAAGTGAGCTTCAACACAGCCCTTCCAGTGAAATGGGAATATTTCATGGATACATACTGCTGGTTATCTTGATTTCAGTGATCATATTGCAAAAAAACAGAATGTTCTGGTTTCACATCTTTCAGGTTGATTCTGGTTATTGATAAGTTGACATTACGTGTCTCCACGAGGAAACGAATCAGCATTCTTAAGAAATAACTATATTATATAGAAATGAAGACAAGAACAAAAATATTCTGTAAAACTTGTTTTTAATATTGTAATTAACGTTTAATAAATATTGCATCTTTCCCAAATCTTAAACACTCGTCCACACATTTTGACAAACATCATGCACACACTGGAACATACGTTCGTATATTTGCCCATTCATTCAAATGTGCACATATCAATCAATGTAAATACATGTAACCTCTAGTTTTGAATACGAGCACATTAGTCAAGCATCACCTTGTTTTATCAAAAGATGAAAATTGTTTTTTTAATAAAATCATTTATTGTTAGATAACTGGCATAAGTACTATTTCAGGTGTGGAATGTTTGAACATGTTCGTACCAGATTAACTATGCTTTCAGACTTTATAATACATGCTTGTGTCATAAAATATACATACATTCAAACGTTTGGAACACAATTATTTAACAACTGGCAGATTTGAGCAAATGTCATTTCACTAAAATACAGATATGCATCTGAAAAGCTTCGTCACTATAACTTTGCTTTGTCGTTCAATGTGAAATCCTGAGGTAGTTTACACTGTGCATTGTTCCGTCGACTGAACTAAAGCAATGTTCCGAATGTCTAACGAGCACTCGAATTATTCCAATTCTTGTACGTTGTGTTAAGTTTTTTGATAACATATTTGTAGAATGTCAAACAAATAAATCCATCTTTGAATTGTAACCATTATAAGTTCAGTACGGAAAGCGGTGTAACTGACTTTTGTGAAAGATCGTAGGTATGTCCATTAAGTTTTATAATTTAGCAAACCAGGAGTTTTAACGAAACGCAAGTTAGATTAATTATCATTACCAGACAAACTGTCGTCACTGTCAGAATCTGCAGAACTTGAATCTTCTTCTGGAATCGATTCATTTAGGTTTATGCATTTTTTTCGCCTGTTGAGCAACGTGTATTTTGTTTTGCGTTGTCTGCCAGAGTTTGGCCGTCGTTTGGTCAGCGTCTTTATATTGTCGTTGATACGTATGAGCTGCTGCATCAACTGGACATCTTGTTGTCTGAGGTCAAGCTGAAATAGTAAAAAGAAATGTCTTATAAGATTTTATCAACATTGATTTTGAAATCAATATACAAAATACAGAATGTTACACAATATACATTTATTATCGAATTATTGGTTACCAATAATATTTTTTAAGGAATAGTTACCATATCACTCCTGAGTGTGGCGAGAGCACTATTTATCCTGTCAGTGGCGGTACTGTTGGATTCCATGCTTATTCTTGGGCTGGTATGAATTGTAAAATGGTTTTGCTATAGGTAAGTCAGTGTCGGTAGAAGAATTGACATGGTCTCTGTTTTCAACACTATTTATACAAACTCCCCACCCTTACGTGGGGCTACGTAATACCTACGGGTGGTTACCTTTTCTTATACAAAGCACCTGTTGTATCAGCCAAGAACCACCGGGAAGGGATCAGTTACATCTGGCACAGGTAGACTGTGTATCATATAGTGACGGAGCATACATTTATTATTATATTAATTGTTTAGATAGTGTGAGATAAGTTTGTTCTGCTCTGCTATAAATTAAGATACCCACCGGGAACATATACAAGTCGGTGTGAGAGATACAGAAATAAATACCAAAGTCTGTCAGATACCAACAAGGGGAAATTGGTTTCCACACTCGGGTCCATTACAGCTATTGTTGTGACAAGGAATGCATTAACCAAATCCTGACATGCCACCCTACCTGCGACCCCCATCGCACAAACCACCCATATCACCACTCATCATTTTACTATTGATGCGATTGATATGCAAATATTTAGGTATTTTTTAATGGAAACACTTAGATGTAAATGAAGCATTGATCATTAGAATGCGCGAGATATTGTATCTAATTTTGGAATAAATCTGAGGTGCAGAAAAACAAAATATCTCAGCTGACAGTCATTTAGATGATGATTGATAAAGTCGATGACAAGATTATTAAAGCGTGTTCCAATTATTTGTATTTTAAATATTTCATTATTCTTTGGCGGAAATAATCTGTATTAATTTAACGATTATTGCAGGTTTAAAATAATAATTATAATATACAACATTTGTTATAGCGCCCTATTTAGCTAGAATAAGCCACTCTAACGCGTTTTACAGTACATAGATATACAATTTATACAATCAACACAAATAGCATATACATTAATCAATACAAATTTTGAGGAATTCGCGGGAGCTGCCTTATCAGGCGCTAACTGCTAGTCCTGTTCCACCTGGCTAATATTTCCCTAAGCGTGTATGCCTGCGTATGTGATGGAGATGTACTGTGTTCTGTTTGTAGTGGGGCCGTGCTTCCAATGGTATCATTTTATGTGCCACCTCACTTGAATGCTACAGTACAGATACCACAACATCGTCCCAGACCATTTTATACTCCACCTGGGTTGTTGGAGTTGTGTGGAAGAAGAAAAACATCTTCTCTGTATATTCCATGCGTACGACGACTCCAGGGATCGAACCCCGGCCGCGCAGAAGGCCGGAGTGTTACCACTCGACCAATCCGTCCTTATTACATAAATATGAATGAATATTTACTTTTTTTTTAAACGAACAGATGCTGATTACCAAAGATTTTTGAATTACAAGTGAAGTCTTGATATTACGAAGACTGTAAACTAGTCACAGACACATGTCAATTATTTTAGAATGGTGTGATATTAAAAATGATACTTTGATTGTTTTAATGACATTGTATTTTATCAACCCGTATGTTTCAATTAAATATACATGTAATGGTAATTTATTACAAAAACAGTATCATAACATATTTCCTTTATCAGTTGAATCTGCTCGACAGCCCTTCACTATTCAGCAATATGCCCTCTTAAAGTTAAATTAAGTTTATTTAGTATAGTAATACTTCATCAAGGAAATATTTCTATGGAGATTCACTTTCGAGCCCTTCATTGGGTGAATTTCTATTTAAACACTTTGTAATCTATTGCTATCTTTTCATGTTAACTCATAGAAAAATTGGATAAGTCTGGAAGTACTTCGTTCAAACTTGCATAATTTCAATACCCTTAAAACTTATGAGCTACAACATAGTTTTTCATTGAAAAAAAACCCATATATCATGGAAAAATACTGTATGCTATTATGATCTCAATGATCATGTTGCAAAAAAACCCAGAATTTTCTGATTAAACTTCCTTAAGGTTGCTTCTGGTTGTTGATAGGTTGATATCATTTATTTCCAAGGAGGAATTGAATCAGCATTCGTAAAAATATAATTTGTATGGAATGAAGACGAGAACAAAAACGTTCTGTGATTTTTTTTAATTTATACGTTTTATAAATATTGCATCTTTCCCAAAGTCGGTATTCTTGTCCACATATTTTGACAATAAACATGCACACATCTGAATATTGCGTTTGTGTATTTTCCCATTCATTCATATGTGCACATATTAACCAATGTAATAATGTAAATTCTCATTCATATAGGAGCATCTATTTCATGCATGACCATATATCTTTAAGCAATACACGCTCTATTTTGATAAAATCATGTACTTGTAAATACTTGACCAAAGTATTTTTGTCAGGTGTAGATTGTATTAACATGTGCATACCAGATTTACTTTACTTTCAGACTACTTAATACGCCTTTGTGTCGTAAAACATACATACATTCGTACTATTTGAACACAGTTATTTAAAATATGGCAGATTTGAGCAAAAGTCATCTCACACAATTACAGACATGTATCTGAATAGCTTCTTCACCATAACTTTTGTTTTACCGTTCAATGTTAAGAAAAACATTCCTGAGGTAGTTTGAATTGTGCGTTTTTTCATCAACTGGATTAAAGCAATGTCCCGAATGTCGGACAAACATTTGATATATTCGAATATCCGTAGGTTGTTCAAAACTTCTTCGTTACACATTTGTGGAATGTCCAAACATATATATACATATCTGAATCGAGATGTAGTTCTTGTTCAGCATGGAAAGCACTGTAAAGTTTTTGAACTACCTTTGGTGACTAAATGCATGTGCGTCCAACTACTTTTATAGCTCAGCAAGCCAGAAATTGGAACGTGTCGCCAGGTTAATTATCGTTACCAGACAGACTGGCGTCACTGTCAGAATCAGCAGAACTCGAGTCTTCTTCTGGAATCGATTCATTCAGGCTGATGAATTTCTTTCGCCCGTTCAGCAACGAGTATTTCGTTTTGCGTTGTCTGCCAGAATTTGGCCGTCGTTTGGTCAGCGTCTTTATATTGGCGTTGATACGTATGAGCTGCTGCATCAACTGGACATCTTGTTGTCTGAGGTCAAGCTGTAATGATAAAAGTTAGCATTCTATTAGATTTGATAAAGCTTGATTATATACTGAATTTTTGAATTTTACACAATATACATAGACAGTTCTTGGATTTTCGTTTTAATTTCTATTTTCATATTGATATTAAGTAATACTTAAAAAGTAAATAAATGATAACATTGAATGAATAAATAACAGTAATAATTACCATATCTCTCCTGAGTGTAGCGAGAGCACTATTTATCCTGTCAGTGGCGGTACTGTTGGATGATATCTGTGAAGATTCCATGCTTATCCTTGGGCTGTTATAAATTATCAGAAGGTTTTATATGAAGTAGGCCAGGTAAGTTTGAAGAACTGATCAGGCTGTTTGTTTTCACCAACATTTATACCAAACCCTCTACCCGTACGTGGGGCTACGTAAAATCTACGGGTGGTTTAATTATGTTACACAAAGCACCTGTTGTATTAGCCAAGAACCTCCGGGAAGAGATCATTTACATCTGACATAGGTAGACTGTGTATCATATAGCGATGTAGCACGCATATATTTTATATTAATTGTTTAGATGGTGTGAGATAAAGTTTTTTTCTGATCATGTATCAATTAAGATCCCCACATATACAAGTCGGTCTGAGAGATACAAAAATAAATACTAAAAGTATGTCAGATACCAACACGGGTTTTTTGTTTTTAAACCAGAGGTCGTGAGAGGTATTGTTTATAACAAAATGTAATAACAAAACACTGACGTATATTCCTACTACTGCAACCCCCAACCCCCATAACACCTATATCGCTACAAGAGTAATATATATTCAATAATATTCAATCCTTTTATGTATATAATTAGATATGTTTTAATATAGTTACAGATACCAAGGAACTATTTTTCAACGGAATACGTGAAATTTTCTATTATTCATGTACATTTTATTGAAATAACTCGGTGAAGCAGAAAAAAAAATATCATCTCAGTTGACAATCAATTTGATATTAATTTTTATAAAGGTGACTACCTGGATTGCAATTTATTAGAGTGCATTAATGTCTTTACTATTATCTACCGATTCATTGACTACTTGACTCTGCAGATAAATGATATCTAATAAAATGCGTGTATTAATATAAAAACAATATGAAAAAACACACGTAAAATACATACTTTTAATTCGAACATATCCCAATTTCAAAAGAGTTTCAAAAGCCATTAAAAAACCTTACAAAAGCTAACAAATGATTAACATCACAGTCCACTTACTCAATAATGAAATTATATTAATAATTCTCTTAAGAACATATGCTAAGTGTTTTGATAAGTTTCGTATTTCCTTAATCGATACATATATTTTCATTATTTGTAAAGACACATTTTTGTAATCTTCATGATAGATTTTTTTTTCAATGTTTCAAATGGCATTATTAAGGGTTTATTACCCAAATCAGTATGTGTCTATAATTATAACAATATATAGTATCACTTAAACTTATTATCATATTATTTTATTTTCAAATGTAGGCTAAAGTGTATTGTGTTAATCGAAACCTATATTTTCCCACCGTAATTATGAGATGATATTGTTTCGATAATCATCTTGTAACAAAACGTTTTTTTCATATTTGATGATATATTATTATTATTATCGAGATCAGCTCAGCATGGTGTCTTCCAAATAGAAATGTGATACGCCCTTATAGAAAAATAATTATTAATCATACTAATAAATATTAGCAACGCATTCCTTTGGCCGACAGCCGACCCCATCGGTGGGTATTGATACTTAAAATAGTTCAATAACAAATGACTATATTAAGGCTTTTTACTGTTGGATCAAATAACATCAATCCAATATTCCATGCGTAGATCTTACAAAAGCAAAACAGTATTTAAAAAAATAGTATGCACATTTTTATGTTTTGTAATTCTATTAATAGAATCGCTGATTTTCCACTGCAGAAATTGAAACGTTATGTTTTTTCCCACTTAGAAGTCACCATTTCCACCATATGGAGACCTTATAATTCAGATGCATCTTTCATGTTATTAATGCAGTTTACTCAGTTCATGGGAAAGGCAAACGCATCGTTGTGGATATACCAATCGCCTGTACATCGGAACAAGGTAAAACCTGCTAATCCTTTATTGAAAATTATACCAGCCCTGTACCCTAATAAGTATCCATGCGAAAATATTTGTATATATCTTTATGCACTTATTGTGATATGTGTATCTCACCGACATCAAGGTATATCAACTATTCTATCAATTTATTTTCACCTTTAACCAAAACAACCAACAAATTCATCATCGGAATGGTATACAGTGAACAAATCAACAACGCTGTCGTTCTTATTTGCAAGTATAGTAGCATGTTTGACCATAATATTTTTTATCGTTTAGAGTATTCAAAATTAACAAAAGAAAAAAAAGAAGATTTCATTAACATCAAACTCCTTAAATTGTATTGATGCAATTGTTTGACCGATTGATATTCTTTTGATATCTAATTAGTACCTCTGATGAATCATAAATGGAGGAAAAAGCCATGACAGACGGTTGAATAAATACTTTGTTTGGCTTTATGATTGATAAATAAAAACTATATATCATAAGTGCTTCTTACATAATAACTCTAGCGATTATTCTGCAAACAAGCCGAATAATAAAAGCTATGACTGGGGAGGGGAAACTACCAACGTAGTAAGGCATTCAAGTCAAAACATTTGTCCTGTGTATTCAAAGTGATTTAAAGGCAACATACCCAGCTACCAAAGTGCCAGTGTTGAAAACTCATTTGGTTCTTTACAATTTGTGATCTTCGAGGGGTTAATATGAACGAGTTAATCAACAAAACCAAGATAAAAAAGTCTATGACACATGATAGATGTCAAGTACCCGAGGTGAGAAAACAGTTTCTAGACGTGTGGTACCTAAACCCATTGGCATTTGGTTTAATATTCCGCTTGTTACAAATACAGGCTTGTGCTTCGCGGGAGTAGCTATCCGACCCGTGTGGATCGAGGAAAACTTATCAAACACCATCTAGTCAATTAACATGTAATATTATACCTGTTTTACATTAAGCTGATACACAATTTACCTGTGAGACAAGGGTAACCGATACCTCCCCGGTGGTACGCTACGTGTTTGCCAGGTGCTCTTTTACGTGATAGCAGCCACCAGCAATTTTATGATCAAGAAACCCCACGTAGGAATAGGGACGAGTATAAAAGGCTTCTCAACACAAGTTTGGCCAGTTCTTATATTGCCACTGGATGGTCATTGATCTAAACTTTTACTAAACGTATAACACTACATCAACGGAAAAGAATGGATTCTGTAATGACGGGAAACACAACCGATAGGATTAACAATGCATTGGCAGCACTGAGGAGTGAAATGGTAACTATTACTTCAATTGTTATAATTATGTGTATTGTTTCAAACACTTCAATTTAAACATACATTAAAAAACTCCGAATTTCTTTGCTCTAAATCTACCTTTGCAATAAGGATCAAATGATTAATCAAATAACATATTTTTATCATTACAGTTTGACCTCAGACAGCAAGATGGCCAACTGATGAAACAGCTTATTTGTATCAACGAAAACATTAAAACTTTGTCGAAGAGACCGATTCCTGCCAGACCAATTCGAAAGAGAATGTCTTTGGTGAAAGGGCGAAGGAAATTCATCAATCCAAATGAATCCATTCCAGAAGAAGATTCTAGTTCTGCAGATTCCGACAGTGACGACAGCGTTTCTGGTACAGAGAACTACCAATGATGGAGGAACCTGGTAGCGGTCACATGACACATCTTCAAATGAATCCATCCTAAGTGGAGTCAATCTGTTCGTTTAAATGACAGGACGGAACCAATCCGAACGAGGAACTCTCTAGCTTTAAAGGTAATTTTTTAAGAAATCATAATTAAAACAGTTATTTACACTTGAAATTGTATTAGAATGGTATATTTTTCAGGGTAATTGTGTAAACATTTGGTCGATATTTTTGTTTACTAATGCACTTTCTAAATCCTGATGTGTTTTTGTCGTTTCAGAATCTTCTAGCTAACAGACATGGCCCATCGGGATCAGTTACCATGACGATATTTAGGTTACCGTACCGGATCTGTGCATCACACCGATGATTATAGCCAATATCTGCCACTGTTTGGACACCGCAATGTCATATTTTTAACACAGAGGGCAATGAAGCAGCACTGAATCGTGATTTAACACTGTGGAAGAACTCAGTCTGGACTTAAATCGCTGTTTTCTGAATCAGGCCATTATTTTACGGTGTTTTACTGAAGAACATACACGATCTAAAAGAAATTTATGTTCAAACCGCGCTGTATAGGACATGGTTATTTCTTTCAGATCTGACAATGACTTTTAAACTTTGCGTTCGCTCCCAATGTCTCAAGAGCGAAAAACGTAAACACCTTAGTCTTTCTTATAAATTACTTTTGTTCACCTCTGTCGATTACCTGCACGTGTTCGTATTATGTTAATGTATTTAACAGTGCATCAGAGGAAAATAGTAAACAAAGCACATTTGTATATCAAGTGTGTAGTGCACCAACTATATATAATTATGCGCATTTATTGGAATAAGAATATGTGTTTGCGTCATAAATGTTAATGCGTAGGTGTGATAAATTGTGACATTAAGGATGTGATGTCAAGAGGCAATAGGGCATATTGCAATTAACCGAAAAAATAAAATCTATCTCAATTATATATTGTCTTTGTGTTTCACTTCATACGATGTCTTACATCAGTAAGAAGAGTTTACATAGAGTGTACTCCATAAACACACCTACATGATGTGTGATTTTAAGCGCAATATCTGGACACAGGACATAGACGTGGTACAATGATATCCTACAAACAGGTCTATATATATACACATACACACTATAGTTTGTGTTAAGGTTTGTATCTTCAAATAGATATACAGCAGCGTACAAGAAGTCTATGGTACTGATAATTACAACAATAGTTATGAACTTAAAATGTTACAAAATATTTTATCAGTGTAGGGAATACTGGGTCGGAGTAGACCTAGTTCATATTAAAACAAAGAACCATGATTGCAAAGATGTTATTCAAAGCAAACTTTGTATTTAAGGGTACGATTGGGTAGGTGATGATAGGATGCATAACTGTTGTAAAAATGATAGATATTATAGTTGTTGGTCTACAAAAGAATATTAGCGTATGTAAATTCCCCAGTAGCGGTATTACTTGAAACAAAAACAAAGAAAACAAGAAAAATATGTGCAATTCCTCGAGTCAAAGGTACCGTTTTTTGTTGTTGTCATTTTTCAAATACTACATAAACATATCAAATGAGACTCCTTATGGAAAATA